AACTGTTAAAATTCTTCAGAAACGTCACTTTTGAAGTGTTTTCTTGTACTTTTAAGCCAATCAGATACCCTACGGGCTCGGAAACTGCAACGAAACCATCAAATTTTAGCTAGAAACTGTATTTTTATCGATTTTTATTGAATTTGAAATATATTTCAACGTTTTTTGATGGTTCTGAGCCACCAAACACAATTAAAGCATGCAGAATCGACTCAGAATAGGAAAAGGAGACGTTTAGGTCAATTTTATGCATTCTGGCGTTCGTAGATACAAGAAAACTGTTAAAATTCTTCAGAAACGTCACTTTTGAAGTGTTTTCTTGTACTTTTAAGCCAATCAGATACCCAACGGGCTCGGAAAGTGCAACGAAACCATCAAATTTTAGCTAGAAACTGTATTTTTGTCGATTTTTATTGAATTTGAACTATATTTCAACGTTTTTTGATGGTTCTGAGCCACCAAACACACTTAAAGCATGCAGAATCGACTCAGAATAGGAAAAGGAGACGTTTAGGTCAATTTTATGCATTCTGGCGTTCGTAGATACAAGAAAACTGTTAAAATTCTTCAGAAACGTCACTTTTGAAGTGTTTTCTTGTACTTTTAAGCCAATCAGATACCCTACGGGCTCGGAAAGTGCAACGAAACCATCAAATTTTAGCTAGAAACTGTATTTTTGTCGATTTTTATTGAATTTGAACTATATTTCAACGTTTTTTGATGGTTCTGAGCCACCAAACACACTTAAAGCATGCAGAATCGACTCAGAATAGGAAAAGGAGACGTTTAGGTCAATTTTATGCATTCTGGCGTTAGTAGATACAAGAAAACCGTTAAAATTCTTCAGAAACGTCACTTTTGAAGTGTTTTCTTGTACTTTTAAGCCAATCAGATACCCTACGGGCTCGGAAAGTGCAACGAAACCATCAAATTTTAACTAGAAACTGTATTTTTGTCGATTTTTATTGAATTTGAACTATATTTCAACGTTTTTTGATGGTTCTGAGCCACCAAACACACTTAAAGCATGCAGAATCGACTCAGAATAGGAAAAGGAGACGTTTAGGTCAATTTTATGCATTCTGGCGTTCGTAGATACAAGAAAACTGTTAAAATTCTTCAGAAACGTCACTTTTGAAGTGTTTTCTTGTACTTTTAAGCCAATCAGATACCCTACGGGCTTGGAAAGTGCAACGAAACCATCAAATTTTAGCTAGAAACTGTATTTTTATCGATTTTTATTGAATTTGAAATATATTTCAACGTTTTTTGATGGTTCTGAGCCACCAAACACACTTAAAGCATGCAGAATCGACTCAGAATAGGAAAAGGAGACGTTTAGGTCAATTTTATGCATTCTGGCGTTCGTAGATACAAGAAAACTGTTAAAATTCTTCAGAAACGTCACTTTTGAAGTGTTTTCTTGTACTTTTAAGCCAATCAGATACCCTACGGGCTCGGAAAGTGCAACGAAACCATCAAATTTTAGCTAGAAACTGTATTTTTGTCGATTTTTATTGAATTTGAACTATATTTCAACGTTTTTTGATGGTTCTGAGCCACCAAACACACTTAAAGCATGCAGAATCGACTCAGAATAGGAAAAGGAGACGTTTAGGTCAATTTTATGCATTCTGGCGTTCGTAGATACAAGAAAACTGTTAAAATTCTTCAGAAACGTCACTTTTGAAGTGTTTTCTTGTACTTTTAAGCCAATCAGATACCCTACGGGCTCGGAAAGTGCAACGAAACCATCAAATTTTAGCTAGAAACTGTATTTTTGTCGATTTTTATTGAATTTGAACTATATTTCAACGTTTTTTGATGGTTCTGAGCCACCAAACACACTTAAAGCATGCAGAATCGACTCAGAATAGGAAAAGGAGACGTTTAGGTCAATTTTATGCATTCTGGCGTTCGTAGATACAAGAAAACTGTTAAAATTCTTCAGAAACGTCACTTTTGAAGTGTTTTCTTGTACTTTTAAGCCAATCAGATACCCTACGGGCTCGGAAAGTGCAACGAAACCATCAAATTTTAGCTAGAAACTGTATTTTTGTCGATTTTTATTGAATTTGAACTATATTTCAACGTTTTTTGATGGTTCTGAGCCACCAAACACACTTAAAGCATGCAGAATCGACTCAGAATAGGAAAAGGAGAAGTTTAGGTCAATTTTATGCATTCTGGCGTTCGTAGATACAAGAAAACTGTTAAAATTCTTCAGAAACGTCACTTTTGAAGTGTTTTCTTGTACTTTTAAGCCAATCAGATACCCTACGGGCTCGGAAAGTGCAACGAAACCATCAAATTTTAGCTAGAAACTGTATTTTTGTCGATTTTTATTGAATTTGAACTATATTTCAACGTTTTTTGATGGTTCTGAGCCACCAAACACACTTAAAGCATGCAGAATCGACTCAGAATAGGAAAAGGAGACGTTTAGGTCAAATTTATGCATTCTGGCGTTCGTAGATACAAGAAAACTGTTAAAATTCTTCAGAAACGTCACTTTTGAAGTGTTTTCTTGTACTTTTAAGCCAATCAGATACCCTACGGGCTCGGAAAGTGCAACGAAACCATCAAATTTTAGCTAGAAGCTGTATTTTTGTCGATTTTTATTGAATTTGAACTATATTTCAACGTTTTTTGATGGTTCTGAGCCACCAAACACACTTAAAGCATGCAGAATCGACTCAGAATAGGAAAAGGAGACGTTTAGGTCAATTTTATGCATTCTGGCGTTCGTAGATACAAGAAAACTGTTAAAATTCTTCAGAAACGTCACTTTTGAAGTGTTTTCTTGTACTTTATAAGCCAATCAGATACCCTACGGGCTCGGAAAGTGCAACGAAACCATCAAATTTTAGCTAGAAACTGTATTTTTGTCGATTTTTATTGAATTTGAACTATATTTCAACGTTTTTTGATGGTTCTGAGCCACCAAACACACTTAAAGCATGCAGAATCGACTCAGAATAGGAAAAGGAGACGTTTAGGTCAATTTTATGCATTCTGGCGTTCGTAGATACAAGAAAACTGTTAAAATTCTTCAGAAACGTCACTTCTGAAGTGTTTTCTTGTACTTTTAAGCCAATCAGATACCCTACGGGCTCGGAAAGTGCAACGAAACCATCAAATTTTAGCTAGAAACTGTATTTTTGTCGATTTTTATTGAATTTGAACTATATTTCAACGTTTTTTGATGGTTCTGAGCCACCAAACACACTTAAAGCATGCAGAATCGACTCAGAATAGGAAAAGGAGACGTTTAGGTCAATTTTATGCATTCTGGCGTTCGTAGATACAAGAAAACTGTTAAAATTCTTCAGAAACGTCACTTCTGAAGTGTTTTCTTGTACTTTTAAGCCAATCAGATACCCTACGGGCTCGGAAAGTGCAACGAAACCATCAAATTTTAGCTAGAAACTGTATTTTTGTCGATTTTTATTGAATTTGAACTATATTTCAACGTTTTTTGATGGTTCTGAGCCACCAAACACACTTAAAGCATGCAGAATCGACTCAGAATAGGAAAAGGAGACGTTTAGGTCAATTTTATGCATTCTGGCGTTCGTAGATACAAGAAAACTGTTAAAATTCTTCAGAAACGTCACTTTTGAAGTGTTTTCTTGTACTTTTAAGCCAATCAGATACCCTACGGGCTCGGAAAGTGCAACGAAACCATCAAATTTTAGCTAGAAACTGTATTTTGGTCGATTTTTATTGAATTTGAACTATATTTCCACGTTTTTTGATGGTTCTGAGCCACCAAACACACTTAAAGCATGCAGAATCGACTCAGAATAGGAAAAGGAGACGTTTAGGTCAATTTTATGCATTCTGGCGTTCGTAGATACAAGAAAACTGTTAAAATTCTTCAGAAACGTCACTTTTGAAGTGTTTTCTTGTACTTTTAAGCCAATCAGATACCCTACGGGCTCGGAAAGTGCAACGAAACCATCAAATTTTAGCTAGAAACTGTATTTTTGTCGATTTTTATTGAATTTGAACTATATTTCAACGTTTTTTGATGGTTCTGAGCCACCAAACACACTTAAAGCATGCAGAATCGACTCAGAATAGGAAAAGGAGACGTTTAGGTCAATTTTATGCATTCTGGCGTTCGTAGATACAAGAAAACTGTTAAAATTCTTCAGAAACGTCACTTTTGAAGTGTCTTCTTGTACTTTTAAGCCAATCAGATACCCTACGGGCTCGGAAAGTGCAACGAAACCATCAAATTTTAGCTAGAAACTGTATTTTTGTCGATTTTTATTGAATTTGAACTATATTTCAACGTTTTTTGATGGTTCTGAGCCACCAAACACACTTAAAGCATGCAGAATCGACTCAGAATAGGAAAAGGAGAAGTTTAGGTCAATTTTATGCATTCTGGCGTTCGTAGATACAAGAAAACTGTTAAAATTCTTCAGAAACGTCACTTTTGAAGTGTTTTCTTGTACTTTTAAGCCAATCAGATACCCTACGGGCTCGGAAAGTGCAACGAAACCATCAAATTTTAGCTAGAAACTGTATTTTTGTCGATTTTTATTGAATTTGAACTATATTTCAACGTTTTTTGATGGTTCTGAGCCACCAAACACACTTAAAGCATGCAGAATCGACTCAGAATAGGAAAAGGAGACGTTTAGGTTAATTTTATGTATTCTGGCGTTCGTAGATACAAGAAAACTGTTAAAATTCTTCAGAAACGTCACTTTTGAAGTGTTTTCTTGTACTTTTAAGCCAATCAGATACCCTACGGGCTCGGAAAGTGCAACGAAACCATCAAATTTTAGCTAGAAACTGTATTTTTGTCGATTTTTATTGAATTTGAACTATATTTCAACGTTTTTTGATGGTTCTGAGCCACCAAACACACTTAAAGCATGCAGAATCGACTCAGAATAGAAAAAGGAGACGTTTAGGTCAATGTTAGAGCTTTCACAGGAATGGTTAATTATTATTCAAAGTTTATATCAAATTTGCAGAGCAAAATGAAACCTCTGTATAGTTTACTGGAACAGGGTAGTGTTTTTAAGTGGACAAAAGCATGTCAGCAAGCTTTTGATGTAGCAAAACAAGAAATTAGCTCTGAATTAGTTTTAGTACATTATGATATAAATAAACCTCTAAGATTAGTGTGTGATGCCAGTCAATATGGTATAGGAGCCGTCCTAAATCACGTAGATTCAGACGGGACAGAAAGACCCATTAGTTTTATTTCACGGGTGTTAACAAAATCTGAAAAAAATTATTCAATGATTCATAAAGAAGCGTTAAGTATTTATTGGGCAGTACAAAAGTTTTATCAATTCTTAGCCGGTAGAAAATTTGAAATTATGTCAGATCACAGACCCCTCCAAGCTTTGTTTGGTGAAACACGTAGTCTACCACAAATGGCAGCTGGAAGGTTACAACGATGGTCTTTATTTTTGTCTAATTTTGACTACACTTTTAAAGTTATTAAAGGGTCAGAGAATGTTAAAGCAGATGCTTTGTCCAGACTCCCGCTACCATTTGAGGAAGGTGGTGAAGAAGAAATCTATGATTATTTACATTTTGTTGAAAATTGTGTGCCAATAGATGTTAATATAATAAGATCTGAAACAAGAAAAGATCCTATCTTAAGCAAAATATATAATAGTCTTAGATACGGTTTTCCTGAAAAACCAGATAACGAGATACTAAAACCATTTTTTGTCAGAAAAAATGAATTATATATTGATAATGATATAATAATGTGGGGTTACAGAGTGGTAATTCCAACAAAACTGAGACAGCAACTATTGAAGGAATTGCATAACACGCATGAGGGGATGGTTAAGATGAAAGCAAATGCAAGGTCTTATTTTTGGTGGCCTTCCTTAGATAATGAAATTGAAGATTATGTTAGACGTTGTAATATTTGTATGTTAGAAAGACCAGAACCATTAAAAAGTAAAGCAGCGAGTTGGCAAGACGCAAAACATTTGTATGAGAGAGTTCATGCTGATTTTTTAGGACCGATCAGGGGGAAAATGATTCTCATAATCATTGATAGTTTCTCTAAATGGCCAGAAGCCTTTGTAATGAACAGTACAAATGCAATTCATACTGTTGAAAAATTTCGAGAAGTTTGCTCGCGTTTTGGGTTACCAAAATTAATCGTAACAGATAACGGTACTCAATTTATTTCAGAACAATTTTCACAATTTTGTTTTTATAATGGTATCAAACATATGACCTCTCCTCCGTATCATCCTCAATCAAATGGGTTTGCAGAAAATAGTGTAAAAACGTTAAAATCGTCAATAACAAAAATGTTCAAAGCGGAAAGCAAGGCAGTATCAATGGAAACTCTTATAAATAGATTTCTGTGTCATTATCGTAATTCTATACATCAAACAACGGGATATAGACCCTCCGAATTAGTTTTTAAAAACAAAATAAGAACTCGTTTAGATTTATTAACAGATAATAATAAAGGTGTTAAGGCAAATAGAGGTAGTCGGAGCGTGAGAGTAGTGGAATTTGATGAGGGAGAATTAGTATATTGTAGGGATTATAGAATGCCTAATAAGAAGAGTTGGGTATTGTGTAAAATCGATGAAAGGTTAGGTGACAATGTTTATATGTGTAGGTTATTAAATGAAAATGTTGTGTGGAAGAGGCACCTAGATCAAATTGTAAAGGCGCTTCCTCCAAATGATGGGAGTGTTGTTAACAGTGAAGAGAGGCGAGATACTGTTAACCAAACTCATCAATCTCATCATCAAAACGCAGAGACACAAGAAGCTATTGTACCTTTAACTCCTAGTGTTAGGTTAGAACAAGAAAACGTCAATGAACCTCTTAAGGAAGTAGTAGAAAATGATGGAGGTGAACCTGTAATAATTAATACTAGACCAAAGCGTCAGTTTAAACCACCTCAGCGCTTAAACTTGTGAGAGGGAGGTATTGTTATATAGGGAATTTAGTTTAGAATTGTTAATTAGGTTTTCTTAGGTTGGTAGATAAGTAAGGTTAAGTCGCAGAGTAACGTTCTAAAAAGCAATTGTAAAAATGGCGTCGAATATAGTTGAGTTTAGTTAAATTGCATTTCTACATTCTTGACAAAACCCTTTCCCATTTGAGGCCACGACATCACAGTTTCGTTGCACTTTCCGAGCCCGTAGGGTATCTGATTGGCTTAAAAGTACAAGAAAACACTTCAAAAGTGACGTTTCTGAAGAATTTTAACAGTTTTCTTGTATCTACGAACGCCAGAATGCATAAAATTGACCTAAACGTCTCCTTTTCCTATTCTGAGTCGATTCTGCATGCTTTAAGTGTGTTTGGTGGCTCAGAACCATCAAAAAACGTTGAAATATAGTTCAAATTCAATAAAAATCGACAAAAATACAGTTTCTAGCTAAAATTTGATGGTTTCGTTGCACTTTCCGAGCCCATAGGGTATCTGATTGGCTTAAAAGTACAAGAAAACACTTCAAAAGTGACGTTTCTGAAGAATTTTAACAGTTTTCTTGTATCTACGAACGCCAGAATGCATAAAATTGACCTAAACGTCTCCTTTTCCTATTCTGAGTCGATTCTGCATGCTTTAAGTGTGTTTGGTGGCTCAGAACCATCAAAAAACGTTGAAATATAGTTCAAATTCAATAAAAATCGACAAAAATACAGTTTCTAGCTAAAATTTGATGGTTTCGTTGCACTTTCCGAGCCCGTAGGGTATCTGATTGGCTTAAAAGTACAAGAAAACACTTCAAAAGTGACGTTTCTGAAGAATTTTAACAGTTTTCTTGTATCTACGAACGCCAGAATGCATAAAATTGTCCTAAACGTCTCCTTTTCCTATTCTGAGTCGATTCTGCATGCTTTAAGTGTGTTTGGTGGCTCAGAACCATCAAAAAACGTTGAAATATAGTTCAAATTCAATAAAAATCGACAAAAATACAGTTTCTAGCTAAAATTTGATGGTTTCGTTGCACTTTCCGAGCCCGTAGGGTATCTGATTGGCTTAAAAGTACAAGAAAACACTTCAAAAGTGACGTTTCTGAAGAATTTTAACAGTTTTCTTGTATCTACGAACGCCAGAATGCATAAAATTGACCTAAACGTCTCCTTTTCCTATTCTGAGTCGATTCTGCATGCTTTAAGTGTGTTTGGTGGCTCAGAACCATCAAAAAACGTTGAAATATAGTTCAAATTCAATAAAAATCGACAAAAATACAGTTTCTAGCTAAAATTTGATGGTTTCGTTGCACTTTCCGAGCCCGTAGGGTATCTGATTGGCTTAAAAGTACAAGAAAACACTTCAAAAGTGACGTTTCTGAAGAATTTTAACAGTTTTCTTGTATCTACGAACGCCAGAATGCATAAAATTGACCTAAACGTCTCCTTTTCCTATTCTGAGTCGATTCTGCATGCTTTAAGTGTGTTTGGTGGCTCAGAACCATCAAAAAACGTTGAAATATAGTTCAAATTCAATAAAAATCGACAAAAATACAGTTTCTAGCTAAAATTTGATGGTTTCGTTGCACTTTCCGAGCCCGTAGGGTATCTGATTGGCTTAAAAGTACAAGAAAACACTTCAAAAGTGACGTTTCTGAAGAATTTTAACAGTTTTCTTGTATCTACGAACGCCAGAATGCATAAAATTGACCTAAACGTCTCCTTTTCCTATTCTGAGTCGATTCTGCATGCTTTAAGTGTGTTTGGTGGCTCAGAACCATCAAAAAACGTTGAAATATAGTTCAAATTCAATAAAAATCGACAAAAATACAGTTTCTAGCTAAAATTTGATGGTTTCGTTGCACTTTCCGAGCCCGTTGGGTATCTGATTGGCTTAAAAGTACAAGAAAACACTTCAAAAGTGACGTTTCTGAAGAATTTTAACAGTTTTCTTGTATCTACGAACGCCAGAATGCATAAAATTGACCTAAACGTCTCCTTTTCCTATTCTGAGTCGATTCTGCATGCTTTAAGTGTGTTTGGTGGCTCAGAACCATCAAAAAACTTTGAAGTATAGTTCAAATTCAATAAAAATCGACAAAAATACAGTTTCTAGCTAAAATTTGATGGTTTCGTTGCACTTTCCGAGCCCGTAGGGTATCTGATTGGCTTAAAAGTACAAGAAAACACTTCAAAAGTGACGTTTCTGAAGAATTTTAACAGTTTTCTTGTATCTACGAACGCCAGAATGCATAAAATTGTCCTAAACGTCTCCTTTTCCTATTCTGAGTCGATTCTGCATGCTTTAAGTGTGTTTGGTGGCTCAGAACCATCAAAAAACGTTGAAATATAGTTCAAATTCAATAAAAATCGACAAAAATACAGTTTCTAGCTAAAATTTGATGGTTTCGTTGCACTTTCCGAGCCCGTAGGGTATCTGATTGGCTTAAAAGTACAAGAAAACACTTCAAAAGTGACGTTTCTGAAGAATTTTAACAGTTTTCTTGTATCTACGAACGCCAGAATGCATAAAATTGACCTAAACGTCTCCTTTTCCTATTCTGAGTCGATTCTGCATGCTTTAAGTGTGTTTGGTGGCTCAGAACCATCAAAAAACGTTGAAATATAGTTCAAATTCAATAAAAATCGACAAAAATACAGTTTCTAGCTAAAATTTGATGGTTTCGTTGCACTTTCCGAGCCCGTAGGGTATCTGATTGGCTTAAAAGTACAAGAAAACACTTCAAAAGTGACGTTTCTGAAGAATTTTAACAGTTTTCTTGTATCTACGAACGCCAGAATGCATAAAATTGACCTAAACGTCTCCTTTTCCTATTCTGAGTCGATTCTGCATGCTTTAAGTGTGTTTGGTGGCTCAGAACCATCAAAAAACGTTGAAATATAGTTCAAATTCAATAAAAATCGACAAAAATACAGTTTCTAGCTAAAATTTGATGGTTTCGTTGCACTTTCCGAGCCCGTAGGGTATCTGATTGGCTTAAAAGTACAAGAAAACACTTCAAAAGTGACGTTTCTGAAGAATTTTAACAGTTTTCTTGTATCTACGAACGCCAGAATGCATAAAATTGACCTAAACGTCTCCTTTTCCTATTCTGAGTCGATTCTGCATGCTTTAAGTGTGTTTGGTGGCTCAGCACCATCAAAAAACGTTGAAATATAGTTCAAATTCAATAAAAATCGACAAAAATACAGTTTCTAGCTAAAATTTGATGGTTTCGTTGCACTTTCCGAGCCCGTAGGGTATCTGATTGGCTTAAAAGTACAAGAAAACACTTCAAAAGTGACGTTTCTGAAGAATTTTAACAGTTTTCTTGTATCTACGAACGCCAGAATGCATAAAATTGACCTAAACGTCTCCTTTTCCTATTCTGAGTCGATTCTGCATGCTTTAAGTGTGTTTGGTGGCTCAGAACCATCAAAAAACGTTGAAATATAGTTCAAATTCAATAAAAATCGACAAAAATACAGTTTCTAGCTAAAATTTGATGGTTTCGTTGCACTTTCCGAGCCCGTAGGGTATCTGATTGGCTTAAAAGTACAAGAAAACACTTCAAAAGTGACGTTTCTGAAGAATTTTAACAGTTTTCTTGTATCTACGAACGCCAGAATGCATAAAATTGACCTAAACGTCTCCTTTTCCTATTCTGAGTCGATTCTGCATGCTTTAAGTGTGTTTGGTGGCTCAGAACCATCAAAAAACGTTGAAATATAGTTCAAATTCAATAAAAATCGACAAAAATACAGTTTCTAGCTAAAATTTGATGGTTTCGTTGCACTTTCCGAGCCCGTAGGGTATCTGATTGGCTTAAAAGTACAAGAAAACACTTCAAAAGTGACGTTTCTGAAGAATTTTAACAGTTTTCTTGTATCTACGAACGCCAGAATGCATAAAATTGACCTAAACGTCTCCTTTTCCTATTCTGAGTCGATTCTGCATGCTTTAAGTGTGTTTGGTGGCTCAGAACCATCAAAAAACGTTGAAATATAGTTCAAATTCAATAAAAATCGACAAAAATACAGTTTCTAGCTAAAATTTGATGGTTTCGTTGCACTTTCCGAGCCCGTAGGGTATCTGATTGGCTTAAAAGTACAAGAAAACACTTCAAAAGTGACGTTTCTGAAGAATTTTAACAGTTTTCTTGTATCTACGAACGCCAGAATGCATAAAATTGACCTAAACGTCTCCTTTTCCTATTCTGAGTCGATTCTGCATGCTTTAAGTGTGTTTGGTGGCTCAAAACCATCAAAAAACGTTGAAATATAGTTCAAATTCAATAAAAATCGACAAAAATACAGTTTCTAGCTAAAATTTGATGGTTTCGTTGCACTTTCCGAGCCCGTAGGGTATCTGATTGGCTTAAAAGTACAAGAAAACACTTCAAAAGTGACGTTTCTGAAGAATTTTAACAGTTTTCTTGTATCTACGAACGCCAGAATGCATAAAATTGACCTAAACGTCTCCTTTTCCTATTCTGAGTCGATTCTGCATGCTTTAAGTGTGTTTGGTGGCTCAGAACCATCAAAAAACGTTGAAATATAGTTCAAATTCAATAAAAATCGACAAAAATACAGTTTCTAGCTAAAATTTGATGGTTTCGTTGCACTTTCCGAGCCCGTAGGGTATCTGATTGGCTTAAAAGTACAAGAAAACACTTCAAAAGTGACGTTTCTGAAGAATTTTAACAGTTTTCTTGTATCTACGAACGCCAGAATGCATAAAATTGACCTAAACGTCTCCTTTTCCTATTCTGAGTCGATTCTGCATGCTTTAAGTGTGTTTGGTGGCTCAGAACCATCAAAAAACGTTGAAATATAGTTCAAATTCAATAAAAATCGACAAAAATACAGTTTCTAGCTAAAATTTGATGGTTTCGTTGCACTTTCCGAGCCCGTAGGGTATCTGATTGGCTTAAAAGTACAAGAAAACACTTCAAAAGTGACGTTTCTGAAGAATTTTAACAGTTTTCTTGTATCT